GCATAGTTGGATAGAGAATTGAAAAGTCGATTCAGTCGTAATAACGTGAGTGAGGAAATTCGATGATTTTGAGCCAGAAAGCGAAATTTGAATATCAGACACTTAGGTGCAAGATTATGCCAACATTCCATGTTTTCCGTCCCGTTTTTGCTCATTTCTCGGAGGCATTGGATTGGAGGTCATGACCCCCATAACCCCCCCCCACCCTTGGATCCGCCCTTGCCCTCGGGTGACTCTAAGTAGGTATCAAAAAAATTATACAGTTTTACTGAAGCCCATCCAATGTTGTATGCAAACAAATCGCAATCTGCAACCAATCATCAGCAGTTTAGCATATTATTCGAACAAAGCGAGATAAATTTCCAAGCAGGTTACAGAAACAAAAGAAAAGCCCCCACAATAGATCCCCCATTCCGGGGTGAGTCTCTGAATGATCTCCTACATAGTTAATCATTAAAGGGGTTTCATCATTTGTTTGCCACCTGAATGGAAATGTACCTCGATCAATCAGCCGCTTTTAGCGCCCCCAAAACATCACTTCAGTGCGTTAGTCAAGAAGAAACTGTGCCAAATATTTGTATAACCGAATTCGATCTCAAATTGAGTTTTATAAGAGTGTAAAAGCAATTTCTCAAGCGGCCGCAATCAATAGAGCCACTAGCAAACCCTCATTGTTTGCGCCCCTTATAATGGTAAGGTGATATTTTCCATTCGAGGCAAAATATCGCCGTTATGGATGGAATGGTAGCAGCGGGGTCACCACCAAAGTCAATAAACAAGAGTTTCATACGAAAATTAATATCGTCGATTAATAAAGGTCCTTTTGGACGCATCAACGTTACGGTCGTCGGTTAATTAATTTCCAAGACTCCAATTTGATCCTCCTCGGCCCGGAATGCCTGGGCGATTTCGTCTCAATAAATGTCAAAACAATTATTACCAACAGTTTATTGCCAGAATCATTTATTTATACGGGTCGAGTCCAAGAACTGATTTTGGCTTAATGACAACATTTCACATTTCGGATTGCTCGTATTTTAAGTGCTCTTTTCGTTTCTTGCAGCGACATTTGGAGCTGATACAAGTGAAAACTGATAAGGTATAAAGTAAACGCTGGAATCTCATTTCGTTCAGTTTCACGGCGAATTCGCAAGGCAAAGTACCAGCAATTCCTACGAATCTTTGTTCTCGACACACATAAAGTCGCCTTTTTGATGGGATTCAAACCTCTTGATGGCCGTTTGGAGACCGTCTGCAGCAAAATGCATGCCATCATACGGGCCTTGCAGCGCAGATTGCATGATAAAACTGGAAACAAACTAGATTTTAAAACAGATTGTTTTATTACGTTTTCAGGCCGCCATCAAGGAGGGGTACTTGTTGAAACACACATGGACCTTTCAGAGATGGAGGAAGCGATACTTTAAGTTAATGGGACGCAAATTATTCTATTCCAAAGACCCTAAGGTAAGCACCTCATTTTTAACAACTCCACCGATATTTTGGACGATGATTGGGCGAATGCGCCTTCATAAAGTTTCCCTATACGAAGTCATTTTTGTTCTTAATAGACAAACGTATGTTTCCATAGAAAAGAGAATCCACCTCTACCCAAATAAAGTTTTCTGTAAAAGCGGTTTTCTATTTTCTTGATTTGATTGAAGGCAAACATCCAATTTAGCCCCGCTGTTAGCAAGCCAGAGAACAAACATTATTTTCGCAATTTCAGACATAATTAAAGGAGCACAAATAATATTTTCAACAATGGGCCACGTTTCTTTACGGACGTAACATTGCGGGCCAGATATGAAAATCTATTGTTGAGACGGGAAAGACAAAGCTGCCATATTTTTCCATTTAAAAAGTTTAGATGGAAGCGGCCGCTCTCTTCGAGTCAATATTGAATGTGAATAGACTGGAGAGCGGATTTCAACAGTCCTCAAAAACGTCTTCGAATTATTTGTTGGAACGAAAACGGAGTGCTGGTTAAGTAAAAGTTTCCTAATTCCTCGACTAATGACGAAAACAACCATATTTGAGAGATTCCTGTTTTAAATAGCATCTCTTGGAACACTTTGGAGTTATGATTGAGGAGCATTAGAAGCGCAATTGGTTCAACCAACCAGTTGCTAGGTTTACTACTGGTTCTTCTGGATGTGTTGTTACGTTTGTTAATTGGTTTTAGAACGTAACATTATCAAAACTCCAATTTTTGACTTGGGTTATACTCGGTATTGTTCTGCAGCCGGAGCTTTGTGCATCCATTCACCATTCCTACATTCCTACCATGTATGTAATATGCACAGAACACTAGCAAGGGCGGATCCAGGGGGGTCATGGGGGTCATGACCCCCCCCCC